TCTGCTTATTTTTAAAAATATATTTAAATTATACTCGTATTAAAGATATAAACGTTTTCTGCAAATAGTTTGTACCTATAAAATATTTATATATATATATGATTATATAATTAAATTATACATGATTTGCGCATATCATAAACAATCAAACTATAAAAAATGTGAAACGTTAATATTTTCAGAATATACAAATGTTCACATCTCCAATGTTGAAGAACTATAACAAAAAATACTTGCATTCATTATAATGATGTTCCTTTACTGTATTTTAGAAAACTAGGCCTAATATTTAAATCAGTGTACTCAATAAGGATTAAACTTCAATATTAATTTACTTGTATATAACATTATGTTCAAATATTATTGTAAGAAATATACACGGAAAGTAACGATATAATATATATCGATAAAACAGCATATTTTGCATTTGCGCTCACTGCATTACTATTATAAACATATTTTTTGTATAAACAAGCAGTTGTGATAATCATTAAAAAGCTGAAGCAATTTTTGAGTTTGTGATATTCCATTATAAGTAAATATGATTCTACAGCGTTTCTATAGAAACAGATTTTGTTTACATCCTATTCTCGTTTTCAATTTCTGGTGATTATAAGATATGATAAGTTTGAATAAAGTCTTTAAAATGCTAATATATTACTGAGTATATTTAAAAAAAATGATAACTTGTTGATATTATACAAATATCAGTAGATACATAATTCAACCTTCACATGACATCAACTGTCATTTGATTATGCATTAACAATTCTTTACATTCCAATGTTCGACACTATACCGAGACATTTCGTGACCATAATAATAAAGATTTAATTATAAAAAGAAGGCAAATAATTAAATATTGTATTATTGCTACTCTACACATTCCAAACGAAATTTATAAATGTATATATAAACTATATTATGGGTCACATGTGACTCACCACTGATCTTCACAATTCGTTCTTTAAGGATTAAGTTACTGTACTTTCAAATACAATACTAAAAGACATGATAAAGGTATTCTAAAAATTTATTAAACAACGAATAATTTTTTTTCAAAATTTTTATGGAAGGATTGTAAAATACAAAATAGTATGTTACTTCTTTCCGGCTATAATAATACCATCATATTTCTGTTGGAACCATTTCATTGCATCTTCTTTGGTAAGTCTGTGTTGGAAACCGACTTTTCCAGTTTTTCTTCTCCTATGAGCTACGTTAAAACCTGTGCATAGGAAAAAAATTGTATCAGTACTATGAAAAATAATACCTATGTAATGTGTTTGATGTACAATATTAATAATTTGATTTGTATTGAGTATATATATATACTTAGTCTAAAGTCTAAAATCTTATTATTTAAAAATTTTAAATCGTTATTATTAATAATAGTGTCACATCAATTAAGTAACACACCCAGTATAAGAAGTGGGCATGGGTTGCAAATATGAAGTATTTACTTTAGCACATGCTTTATAAAATTATAGACACAACATAAAACAGAAGTATCTATGATACCATATAAATGTGCATATGTTAAATTTTTTTCTATTATAAAATAGGAAAATATACCTGGTCGTCCAAGTACAACGTAGAAGTCCAAACCATAAATACCAATGCTAGGATCGTATTTAATTCCCAAGTCAATGTGTTCTTGAATACCAAAACCAAAGTTTCCAGTACCAGAGAAGTTTTCTTTCCTCAATTCGTACTCCCGAACCTGAAAGAAAAAGAAATCTTTATAAAATGACAATAAAAATAAATTATCACTAAAATAAATATATTTATTGCAACCTTTAAACCACGCTCTAAGATTTCTTCTGCTTTAGCTCCTCTAACTGTACAGTGTACTGCAATCTTTTCATTACGACGAATGCCAAAGGAACGGACAGTGTATCTTGCTTTAGAGAAGACAGGTTGTTGTCCAGTCAATTGTTCCAATACCTGTAAGGGTTAGATAAAATCTGTTATATGCA